TCTCGGCTGCGGGGGGGGGGGGGGTTCTGTCCCTCTGTTAATTAGTTTTTAGTATAGGCCGCAGTAGGTATCCAAACAAATAATGGGAAACAAGGGAAAGAAAATGTTTATTGGTGTAGTTTAACATAGGCAGACCTACATTATAACGATTTCACCACGTAAAACAAAACAGAAAAATGGCAAATGGCTCCGGTCGTCTCATTTTCGTTCGCTGGATCACTGCAGCACAAACATAGCTCGTTCGACGTCACTACCAAACTAGCCAATCAGCAGTCAATGACGTCATATTGAATGCGGCGACAAATATATTTTGTGAAATCATCGAGAAATGGACTATTGCTAATTGCAAACTAGTTTTATTTTTGGATGGAAATGCAGCCATTGTTATCTTGACATTCATTGAAGTCATCAGAATAGGGTAAGTTACTTCTCAGATGATTCAAGAGGTCTATTTTGTATATAAATTTTCAATTTCTTAGAATGTTCCACTGTGTTGCAGGGTACCGGGTGTATGCCATTGGGTGTGATGTGTTCGCGCGCTATAAGTACAGACCACCGCCCCGTCGGGTGTATTCTCGTTACTGATGTAGGTGCAAAGCTAGAATGGCTTCCACGCCCATTTCCCTCTCTTATTATGCCTTTCTGAACATTCCTTTCCTTCTCAATACAATAACTTTCACCTGCCTAAGTTATTCAAACCATACCGCCTCGCCACTTCCATTACGTAATCATTAAAAGGATCCGCATATACAACATTTTCCTGTTTACGTTGTAGGAAAATACAAATCTCCCTGGTATACCTTATACAGTCCAAACGAGAAATATGTGCCTTAAACCAGGGAGGTGAAAGAAAGGAGGCGAAACTCTTGTAATTTATTCACACGCATTCGTGAGTTCTAAAGCGTAATAATGAGATGTATAACATTCCACTTAGCTTTGAAGTTCCATGCTCCGAACCGCGCTTCCACTGCGGGGACTTTCGGAAGCCAGGCACTAGTTTTACATTTATTACAAAATATTAAATTACCGGCAAAATTGCAATGTAAATCAAAAACTTTATATGGGGATTGTATTGGGAATAGTGCATCAATCAAGTTTTCAAATTTAGTACTCCGTCCTTCCTATAATTTGTGTTCCAGAGTTGGTAAAAGAAAAATTACATCCTGACAAAAACTCAATATTTTAGGATAATGCGCTAATTTGTGCATGTTTAAATGTCCCGTTATTTAATCCATGATTTACAATCTTCAATAACGTTAACTTTGCTAATGCGTGTTTTCGCGTGTTTTTTGTATTTTTGAAGTTAAAAAAGGGATGAACTTACACAAGTTTATGTTCGCTTCTTCTACTCTTTACACATTCAACAATGGATGAGAAATCATTGAAAGGGACAGCGAACAGTTACTGTGATAACATTTTCTGCTGTAGGAATTCTAAGTCCCGAAATTCTATGCGCTCTTTTATCTCACCACCTGGTCAACAGTTGCAGATTAGCGCATAACTTTTTGGCGGCGTGGAGCATGGGGTCAAAGGAGAGCGGATTAATTCCAGTCCTTCTCTACCACGTCCCTGCTTAAACGAAGCAGGCGACAATCGGCGTAGCAGACGACACTTGATAGTAATTTTGTATGTGAGATTGCTTTGCTAAATATAAATTACTTTGTTAATAAATATCAACTCAAATTTCTTTTACATATCTTTAAACCATCATTGATATTTAATAATTCATGAGTGAGTAAAAGAAACATACCAAACTACATAATGATATAAAATACTTGGTGGCAATTAGAGGAGTTTGACGTGATGACCGATTGCACCCCTCTGTTAATAACCGAATAGTCCATGGTGTGTCATGAATATCCATGTTTTTGCTTACCTCGGAAAAATGTTTGCTTTTACTAAATGGAAAAATTACGGTGGGGGTTGGATGAAATGGACATAATGAACAAAGCAGAAGTGATCTGTGATAATTCATGCTTCTTATCCTTCGTGTGCTTGACCTATAATCTTACAATCGCTTGGCAGACTGAGTCCAAAGTTCGACTTGTTTCACATGTGTATTATAGGCAATGGCGAGCTTGCAACCTATTTTGAAGAATTACGGTGGGTGAACTTTCAAAATTCAATGGAAATGAGGGCTCCAATGAACGATCTAGTGATAACGTACGTCGGGGTAGATGTGCTTTTCGTTTAAACAAAAAATGAATTTTTAACGATTTTTTTTTTTAAACGTCCATAGGCTAACATGTTAGGCTGCTGACTCTGACGATAGGGGGCGTTGTGAAATGAGACTAAACGGAGCAATATGATAGGCAAGAGGTATAGCAATTGAAAACAGCTAGCCTTATGACGTAGATGACATGCACGAGATTAAAATATGGGGTTTACCAAAAAAAAATCAAACGTAATTTACAAAGTGAAGCAAAAAGCTCCTTAAGAGTTTTTCATTAAATCCAAGAAACATTTTATTCCGTGGTACTAAGGGAATGTCTATTGTTGGTTGGAACCTTCAATAAATAGTGAAGAAAAAAGAACGAAATATCTAATGTGTGGTTTAAGTGAGAATTACAGTTACTATAATTCATAACAAATACACGGAAAAATATCTGCAATATCTTATAATTATTAAAGATCATAAATTATTGTATGTGTTTGTGCTTATGGTCGGATTTAAGTGATATATAAGAATTACAATCAACTCAACATCATGTTTCTTTTCTTGAGTGACAGCTTACATGATTTCGCTCAAAGAAGTTATCAATATTGCAGTATGCAATTGATCGTGAAAATGAAATCGCATTCGTCCCAAGCCCGTTAGGATTACAAATTCATGTGGCGTGAGAAAATTAAATGGACTATCAGTAATGACGTGAGAAAATTAAATGGACTATCAGTAATAAAGGAGGCAGTAGCTTAGCTCGTTGGAGCATGGTCATAATCTTATTGTGATAGCTTACAACATCGAATTACATGCATCATTGACTTGAGATTCTTTTTTTTTTAATTATTAAAGCTCACCACCATATTAATGATGAAACAAGAAAATGTATTTGTTTAGCACGATCGACCAGTTTTGTCAGCTTTTCATAAAGATGACCCAAAATAAGTCGTATCATACTCAATGTAATTAGCAAAATTTAGGTGAAGCTACTTTTCTAGTCCTAATTAATTCTCCTTGAAGGAAAAACTAAATATGATGACATTTGCTGAATATGTCTTAATATTGCCCACTTGTATCAAATGATACATGTGCTAGCTATTTTCCGTCCATGGTTTCCGATATTTTTTTAGCAAGAACGACCTAAAGGAACTCAAGGCTATCGGCAACTTCTGTTTGCGCCAAAGCACATCGCTCTGGAATATTTTACAAGGAAGTTGGAATGAAACTCGTACTAATCCCCCCCCCCCCGGGGGGGGGGGAGGGGAGGTGCGTACTCAGATTTGGTTTGGACGAGGTTGTGCCGCTCAAGTCTCGAAACTCCTACCTAGTTTGAAGGCCCATTTGAGGAATTTTTCTCGAAATAAAGGCCCATTTTTCACAATTTTAGGGTGTGATGACAACACCCGAAAATTTTGGAAAAACGGACCCATGTTTAGTGATATTTTGTTAAAAATAGGACCCATGTTTAGGTTTTTGTGGAAAAGCGACCCATTAGAACGGCACATCACGGTATATCTTAATATGTGAGTGCCCCCCCGGACTAATCCGGGCACACACAGATCCCAATCAAATAGGTTGTTCATGTTGTACATGACATTGCCGCACATCCTCCCCCCCCCCCATTGGGTTAAATATCTGATTTTTTTTTTCTTCAAATGTAAATGGGGTCTGAAAATATGCACGCCCCCAGCTATCCTGGATCCTGGTAAATAGGCAGAAGGGAAAGTAAAGAGACAGAGAGTGAGCAACGACCCACTTAGGGTTGGACAGAAGCTACTCCTCCTGATGCTAAGCCGACATCAATACTTTTTAAAAGCCTGATCCTTTTTTAAGTCCATGAAAACAGAATGCATTTTGATGCTTTGAAAAAATAGGATTTCTCTTTTTGGGAGTGGTCTCTACCCTCTCGTTCAAATGGACTTTTGGTGTGTACCGGAAAGTCCCGTCACTGCCGCCATCGTAACAGATTGTTAACGAGTTACACCCTATTGATTGCATTGATTTAAACACTGAGCTTGCTCGCGCTTCTAAAAGCCTCGATCATAATAATCCAGATTTTCTTTAAAAAGGGTTGATTTAAATTCGGATATGATCACTGACACTCGAACTTATGGGGAAAGTACTGGCACACTTTCCAGCTTCATTAGCACGAGTCGAGAAGCTTTTAACGGAGATCAATAAGTGTTAAAAACCATGGCATCTATGAGAGCATATACATGTACATGTGTCAGCAACGCCAGCTGAACGCCATTGATTAGTCATTTTAATTGCACCTTGTTTAAATTAGTTCAGAGCTTATTAATGCTCTCTTGGTAGTTATATCCTTTCCATGGCCATCAATAATGCACGATATACATATATAAACCAGTTACATATTGGTGTGGGTTTTTTTATATTAAAGGCAGAGTATGCTGTCTTACACCATCGGGAAAGGTTGTAAAAAGTGAGTTTGACGCCAAATTAACCCCCCAAAATAAATATATTATTTTACGTAAAGCAACACGAAAGCGTATGACTATAAACACAGTATACAAAATATTGTTTGATTTCATCAAAATCCATTATGTAAAATATATCGACGCATTAAATTGTTGGGAATACAATAATTTTGAAAGCATTCATTAATAATTTAATTGACTTTCAAGATGTTAAACTAATTACCGTGACATATTCATAAGTCCTGCAAAGTTCTACAGAATTCGATGTTGGCTGCAAATGGGACATAGAACCTTTAAAAGGTCGCGAATATGAAGCATTACGTAACAATCGATGACAAAAATTCTCGCTAATTGAACGACCTGTAATGGCCATGCCTCCCTATGCACAATCGCAGCAAAATCATCGCCCTCGTATTTTTGGCGGGCTAAGGATACTGAACAATTTAGGGCTTTGCGTAGATCGTCCGTCTGCGGAGACATTTGCGGTGCTGACAGTGAGAATATACTTCTAATTTGCTAATAAACTACTCAGATTTGTGCTTTTTATTACGAATTCTTGTGTTTAGTCGGAGAGATATTATCGTTTTCCAAGATGAAGAGTGTGGTATTTTTTGCGGTTTCGTTTATTGTCATCGGAGCTGGTAAGTCTAATCATTAATATTACATTATCGTTAGGCGATATTTTGTTTACAGAAGTAATACTACGTAGAAACGTTTTTTTAAACACAGGTGTTTTCATACCAAATAATAATAACAGCACAAGAAAATATTGTGAGGTTTCTTTTTCATTAACGGGAATTATATAGAGAGTTCCTTCTACAGTCGATGAATTGTTAACTTTACTCGGGTGTGGTCTTTCGGGGACAACCTAAGCCGCATTAGTAAATAACATGAATAAAACGCTCATTTGCGAAAAGAAATTATTTTCAGTACAGTCCGCATAGAAATAACGATTGCCGAGGAGGAGGTAACTTTTACGCTTTAATTCTTTTTTTTATGGAAGTGTTAATTTAAAAGGGCGACTATAGGTAAGTCAGTAAAACAAGAGATTTGGAAACCCATACAAAATATTTTTGCGCCGCCCCTAACCATAAAAGTGGTAAAAGGGACACACATAAAAGGGTTTGGCGTGACGTGAAATTCCGGATATTTTGATGATGTGTCTTTGCCAGTAGATTAGTAATTCATTATTTGCTTCTGAAATGAGCACAAAAGTATTGTGGTTATTTCATTGAGCCCGCCTATCAAACACTAATTACTTTGTATATATACGAAATTTGGTCAGCGGTCAAGTTTAAAAACAAATCAAATGTCTAGCTTCCATCAAGAAATCTTAGGTGTACGAGACGGGAGAGGGAGTAAAGATACTGCCGCCCTCCCCCCCCCCCCCCCCCCCCCCCCTCGGTCCTTTGTTCAACTCCGATATGATTCCTCTTGTTGTCTAATGCAATGATTATAAGAAACCGTTTTAAAGATATTTATTGAAGATTTCCCTGTTTTGGAGGGTTCTCGTTGCAGCTTGCGAAATTTAGGAGCACTACGGATTCGGGCTGCATGAAACCCGAATAGCTTGATATTCGGCAGGGACGTGGCCGAATATATTACATCTTATCACTTCTTTTTCTCTCAAAACATCGAAACAGGTTGATTGCGAGCAACGAGTTAACAAGTAGCTCGAATATCCTCAATTAGGCTTCTAGAATGTATTCTGATGCTAAATAAAGCCTTCTTGTTTTCTTCTTTTGGGTAGAAACAGTGTGCTTGCTATTTAAGCAAGAGGCATCAGCCTTCCTTGCGAAACTGTTCATATGCGGTATACGCCTAATAGCTTTACATGGGCCTAATCTAATATTCCATTTATTAAAGGTAATTTAAAAAAAAATTGGTGTGGGGTCATTTGGTTTAAATGAACATATTGGAAGCATATGCGATTTTACAATATTCAATGATTGTTGTCGTGGTTGAAATCGAGTCTAAAGTGATGAAACTTTAGGTAATAATCTCATTATGTTGTATAGCTCCCTCTCTAGACTCATATCACTTTAGCTTTAAAACAATGTTTATTGACTACAATCGACCGATTTGCTATTCCCGTTTGGAAATTATATATCAGAACTGCATATTCTGAGATTTCCATGGTCGTAGCTACCGAAGGCGCGATTTGAAATATTTGACATTTACCGGGAGCACCGGTAAAATGTTGATTATTCAATTACTCAAAAGAAGGAGTGGTTTACAGTCTAAATTTTGTAGTGTTTATTATATATCCAAATGGGAATCCAACTATCAACATTTTAAAGAATTACTATCCATCCAATTTTCAAAATTTCCTTGAAGGTAAGCACGTGCTTGTATGTTTACTTGTTTTACCCATTACTTGTTTACTTGTTTACAAATAGGAGTATCAGTACAGACTCAAACTACGGATACTGTTCGCCTGTTCACGAACCTGTTTGCTAACTACTCTAAAGACATCCGACCTGTTGAGCGAGCCTCACAGAGTATCAACGTTTTCTACGGAATGGCCATCAGGCAGATCATCGACATGGTAAAACCTGAATACTTTCCACCCAAGGAATAATAATATTTAGAATTCAACTTATAGATACCCGGTAGGATGCGACCGTCATTGTTGGTCAAACAGTTTTTGAGCGTCATGTAACGCCTGGCTGGAATGCTCCCCAGGGAGTGGAGATTGTGCACACATTGTGTGCTGGCAAGCACTGAATCCAAAGACCGGGGTATTTGTAAAACGCTTAGAGACATTTGTATTAAGCGCTATATAACAATTAAATACTATTATTATTATTATTATTAAAGTTCAGCTCTGGTCATGCGATTGCATTTTGAAAGAAACAATGTGGAGTCGATCAAAAAAGGTTGATCATCTAGCATATAATTAGTGGTGTGTACTGCAAGGTTCTGGAATAATCAAAATGATAATAAAATCAGCCCCGTATCGGTATAGTTACAAGCACGTTGCACAGAAAGATATATGGGACTACACGAACATGTGGCGACCAAAAATCCGTCACGTTTGTATGCTGTTACATGTCATATTTAGAATATTAAGGCATTTGAAGAGCCATGCTTTTCAGGGAACATTTTTTTTTGTCTGACGTTCTCCTACACTTGCATAATAACAATGATAACGCTCACCAATTATTATTCGGCTCTTCCCAGAAATCAACCTTTTCTGTAAAGATTATTTCAATAATATATTGCATCGCATATCAAGTTCAAGTTCAAGTTAATTTTATACAGTGCGTCCCAGAAAAAAAACGAAACCGAGAATTATCGATGTTTTATCATAACTTAATCACAATTATAGTTGATAAATGACACATATTTGTAAAGCTTATATCCTCCTCTTTCATTTGATGCAACTTGTATAGTGCACATTTCACGCATGGATGATTAAAATGAATTTTGAAGAGAGGAAACCAAAAAGTCATTTGGCGAACGGTATCAGAAATTCAGATACCGTCCGCCAAATGACGTTTTGGTTTTCCTCTCTTCAAATTCATTTTAAACACTCATGCGTGAAATATGCATCATATGATTTGCATCATTTATTAATTATAAATGTGTCTAAGTTATGATACAACACGATAATTCTCGGTTTCGTTTTTTCTGGGACGCACTGTATAGAAAACATGTACGAATATGTCACTGTCATGTTCACAGAATCCAATAGGTGACGCACAAGGCTATTGATATTGCCCTAGGTTAGTTTTTGGTTATCAATGAAAGAAGATTAATGTACCAGGCTAGACCTCATTCCAAAGTTTCTAATCATCATCATTTACTCTCTCATCGTCTAGAATGTTGACAAGCAAAACCCTGTGGCTTGTCCAGCTCTATATCTAACCAGTTAAAAACATGTTTTCTTAAAAACCTGTGTAACATGGCAAAATGTGTTTGATAGTGGGTACCCCTCTAAATTACGTGATGGAAGTCCCTACGTATCCAGCTACCCAGTGTTGGCATACATTTCTAAGACTCACTTGTTGTATTGTTCATTCATATTTCTAAGTTAACATCATTGTGAACTTTTCTAAACCATATTAGGAGGCCTTATTTAATCATGCTGAAATGGTGACGAACACTTAACATTTTGTCTGGGGATTCAGGTCATGCCGGCAACTCAGTTTTAGACGTAGGTTCCATGCCTTCATAACAAACAAAAAAGAGTTTCTATTCAAAAGGATGAATTGTGTGATTAAACAAGCATTAACTGACATGCCAAATACTTTGAAATTCAGCTTAAATTGGAACGGGAAGGTAAAATTTCATTTTTATTTTTTTTCCTTTATTTGTCAGGATGAACGGAATCAAATTCTTACTACTAATGTGTGGCTGAGACAGGTAAGAAATGTGTTTATTGTCACATCGGCTGTTCTCTAAAAATAAATTACGTTGTCTGATGTTTTCTCTTTCGTGTGTGTGTGTGTGTGTGTGTGTGTGTGTGTGGCTTCGTACCACACCCCTCCCCCGCTCTCCCTTTCTCTATTTCTCTCTCCCTCTCTCTTTCTTTCTCGATGTTTATATTTCCTATTTCAAGACTATCGGTATATTTAGGTTTTCCTGTTACGTCCTCATCTTCGTTTTCCTTTGCGTCATCATTTTAGGCTTCTTTTGGTGATTGTTTTATGTATTTCTATATCATCTTTTCAAGCAAACATGTTCATGTGATATTTAAATTTACATTCATATATTTAACATATATAAACATTTTCATATTTATAATCTACAATGTGAAAGCCATTATTATTTTGCTCTGGGCTTAGAATTTTACATACATGAACTTTACTCAGCCCTTACAGCAAATTTTACCCCACACTTGTCTTCAACGTTATATATTGCTTTATTTAAAAGATTTTTTTTAAAAGAAAAACATTCATATTGCTCCGTTTAGTCTCATTTCACAACGCCCCCTATCTTCAGAGTCAGCAGCCTAACATGTTAGCCTATAGACGTTTAACAACAGAAAAATCGTTAAAAATTCATTTTTTTTGTTTAAACGAAAAGCACATCCACCCCGACGTACGTCATCACTAGCTCTTTCATAGGAGCCCTCATGTCTCATTGACTTTTGAAAGTTCACCCACCATAATTTTTCAAAATAGGTTACAAGCTCGCCATTGCCTATAATACACATGTGAAACAAGTCGAACTTTGGACTCAGTCTGCCAAGCGATTGTAAGATTATAGGTCAAGCACACGAAGGATAAGAAGCATGAATTATCATAGATCACTTCTGCTTGGTTCATTATGTCCATTTCATCCAACCCCCCACCGTAATTTTTCCATTTAGTAAAAGCAAACATTTTCCCGAGGTAGTTTAGTTGATATTTATTAACAAAATCATTTATATTTAGCAAAGCAATCTCACATACAAAATTACTATCAAGTGTCGTCTGCTACGCCGATCGTCGCCTGCTTCGTTTAAGGCACATATTTATTTTCTGGACTGTAAGGTATACCAGGGAGATTTGTATTTTCCTGCGGTACAACGTACAGCAGGAAAATGTTGTATAATTATGCGGATCCTTTTAATGATTAAGTAATGGAAGTGACGAGGCGGTATGGTTTGAATAACTTAGGCAGGTGAAAGTTATTGTATTGAGAAGGAAAGGAATGTTCACACCCGACGGCACGGTGGCCTGTACTTATAGCGAAGAAGAAGAAGAATGTATAATTCGCGCCATTGCTTGCGAACACATCACAACCAATGGCATACACCCGGTACCCTGCAACATAGTGGAACATTCTAAGAAATTTAAAGTTTATCTACAAAATAGACCTCTTGAATCATCTGAGACGTAATTACCCTATTCTGATAACTTCAATGAATGTCAAGATAACAATGGCTGCGTTTCCATCCAAAAATAAAACTAGTTTGCAATTAGAAATAGTCCATTTCTCGATAATTTCACAAAATATATTTGCCGCCGCATTCAATATGACGTCATTGACAGCTGATTGGCTAGTTTAGTAGTGACGTCGAACGAGCTATGTTTGTGTTGCAGTGATCCACCGAGCGAAAATGAGACAATCGGAGCAATATGATCGTTTGCTTTGTTTCAACTCACACCTCTCCCGCTCATGTCCCGTTTTATCTGCTTTTCTCACAACCTCCTCCGTTCTGTATCATTAGGGCTGGAGCGATGCCAATCTTAAATGGAACCCCGATGATTACGGCGGAATTACCAAGATCAACATCCCTTCTTCCAATATCTGGAAACCCGACATCATTCTCTACAACAAGTAATGTTTTTTTTTTAATTGTGCAATACTTATTAAGAACAATATCCCTGTCATAGAAACATATTATTATTGTTACAGCTGGCCACGCTAGCAGCCCCAGTAAACGCTTGTTCACATAATTATACTGCGTTTTACCACGGCATTTGTTAACGTGCCTTCTGTTCCAAGTAGTTCAAATTACTTTACTGCAAGGCCTTCTCGGATAATGCAAAATATTGGATAAGCCTCCTGAAACGTTCATACAAGCTACGCTTTGTTAACATAAACGTTAAATAATTCATCAATTAATCAACCAAAACTTAAAGGGATAGTTGAGTTCTGTTTTCAGATCGCAAATGCCTTCAATGTGCATGTTTATTGCTCTTATTCTTATCTATGACATTTCTAGTGCTCTTTTAGAACCTAAAATTGCTATAAAGGTAATTTCAGGCCCCAAAATGTGTGCAACTTAGCCAATACGAGCATACCAATTTAGCTCCACTTTCAAAAATACACGGTGGCCGTTAATTAATTATTTAATTAAAAATAACAATACATGGGCCGGCTGGTTGTGCGTAATATAAGCAACAAGAAAATGCCAACAAAAAAGCCAACATTGGCATTGCCTGAAATACGACGTAAAAGGCGTTATTTCATTTTTTTAACGGTTCTTTCAAATTTTTCAAAATATCTAATATTTGTGGTGGTACACAAGTATCAGAAATTGTTATATTTCAGCCGTCTCTGAACCGATTTTGATCCAAAAAAAATGATTTTGTCATGTAAATATTATGTTCCTTCAAATTTGACACTCACTTTTTCATTATCTCACCAAAAAATTATTTTGAGTAGCGCCCTCTGCAACAGAACTCAACTATCCCTTTAAGTTTATTCGTATTTATATCATGACAGCGCCGACAGCTCTTTTAAGGGAGCCATGAAGACCAACGCCGCCGTTTCCAACGATGGCATCGTCACCTGGTTCGCTCCGGCTATCTTCCGCAGCTCCTGCAAGATCAACATCAACTACTTCCCCTTCGACAAGCAGGAATGCACCCTGCAGTTCGGATCCTGGGCCTACACCACGGAGCACCTGAATCTCCTGAACCGCTCGGCCTCGGGAGACACTGACAGTTTTCTCGTCAACGGCGAATGGAAATTGGAAGATTTCCCCGTGATCCGGACCCTGCCGCAGTATGGCTGCTGCAAGTACCCGTACTCCGTACTCGATTTCGTGCTCATTATCAGGAGAAGGTAATGGAAGGACATTGGTTTCGTATATCAGTGGAGGATCTAGTTTCTCTAGAAGGGGGAGGGGGACGAAATCTAATAAAGCTAAATCTAATGAAAAAAAGTACCAGCTAAAGGGGTTATCTCATTTTGTAAGTTGTGTACTATTCCAAAATTATCTGACAAGATAGTAAGAAAAAAATGCTTATCGCAGTTCAGATGTTTTATTATTATCTATTTGATTATTATTATTATTACTCTGCTTTAAGATTGGTGTACATCAGCACTATAGAACTATACAATTTTTATGTTAATGTTGTAGGCATGTATTTGTGGGTAAATAATGCCTTTGTTACGTACATCACCATGCACCAATTTATCGCAGGACCTATTCTTCTTCCAACTTTCCAGGTCGTTGTTCTACGTCATCAACATGCTGGTGCCTTGTATCTTGGTGTCTGCCCTGACTCTCCTCACCTTCTATCTGCCAGCTGACACCGGGGAGAAGTTCACCCTCTGCATCACCATCCTCCTGTCTCTCACTGTCTTCCTCCTCCTGGCCGCGGAGACGATGCCGCCAACATCCGAAGTGGTGCCCCTCATTGGTGAGTTCAGTTTTTACGCTCGTAATGCCTCAGTCACAAATTTGCGTATTTGGCTTGCGTATTACTGCGTATTTATGGCAAGCTGTATTAACATTTATTCCTATTTTTTTTATATAAAAAATTGAAAGAATTGATCTGGGCATTGTTTCATCAATACAATGCAGAGTTATGCTTTTGGATTTAATGATTTCAAGTTAGGTTTAGGATTAAGTTTAGGTCAGGTACAGTGTTGGGTCCAGGATTAGTGTGACAGGAGCATTTTGTCGTACCTGAATTATGCCCGTTGAACGCACGGCGTCATTTTGATTGCGTTAATACCTGCGCTTTATAATCACGCCTCTAAAAGCGTATCCGGATACCTACCCCCTGGACATCGACCCCCGGATAACCACCCCAGTCAACTACCCCCTAGGACAACTACCCCCTAGGGCAACCACCCTCTAAGATGACTACCCCCTAGGATAGTTGTCCTAGAGGATGGTTGTCGTAGGGGTAGGTGTCTGGGGGTAGTTGTCTGGTGGTAGTTGTCCGGGGGTAGTTGTCCTAGGGGGCAGTTATCCCATAGGGGATAGTTAACTGGGGTGGTTATCCAGGGGGTGGGTGTCCAGGGGTACAATGTAGGTGTCCTAGAACCCTCTTAAAGTGATTGGTGCATACACTAGTAATTCAATTCAAAGTTTGCGCTGTTTATTTAGCGGCCACAATTCGCATTAATGTACGACTTCATTGCGATTGCGATCACAATGCGCGCCAAACATCACACCAGTCGCTGACGCAATCCTACGTCAGCCACATATCGCCTTGTTTGCAACGGGCATTAGTACATGTGCCAGTAATTGAACACAGCCCTTTGACTATTAGTATTCAGTTGGCATTTACTTTTTGTACGGTGCCTCTCTGCCATGACGCATCAACTGCCAAGCGGGTCACTGACGCAATCCAACGTCGCTCATGACGCATCATTTGCAATGGGCATTATAAAAAGAACTACGTCAGGAAGCGTTTCACCAGAGGGATCCTCCAGACTATCTATCATAGGAACAGTGTGTCGACGTGCAAATCTAAAAATTCCTATTGTGATGTGGGTGAACTTGTCCTTTTGACGGCTTCTTGAAACGATCGTTGCCCTGCTGTTGACAACAAAAAACTCTAACCGAAGCAAAAGCAAGTTAAAGTAAATCGGGCTATTGGGTTTATTTTCCGATTGTCTTTGTTTCTAAAGCTAAATTACATGTATATTTCGAAATCATGGTGTATATATCTTTCCTTCGACCGACGGAATCTCCTTGTTCATTGTTTCCTTATCAGCCCAGTATTACATCACCACTATGGTCCTCGTGTCCGCTTCAACTGTCCTCACAGCAATCGTGCTCTACATACACCACCGCGGGACGTACGTGGGTAGGGCGCCCTCTTGGTTCCGACGATTCACACTCGATTACCTGGCCAAGTTCATGTGCATGGGTGACTGTCATAATCCGGATGTCAAAGATAAGGTAATGGTTATGTTCTAGATATTACAAGATCAAAAGGAAATTGTGGATTGAATACTATTTCAGTGGGGAATAATATGTCCACAGTATAAGTATGGTATACTATTTGAAGAGTGGAATCATGTGTTCACACTACCGAAAAGACCTACTGCATTTACAAGTGTAGAATTTTATGGAATGCTGTGTTAGCAGTTTTAAAAGAATGTGGTCCCATCTGCTCCATCGGACAATCATCCCGAGGAAAAAATCCCCAAGATCATATCACCTGTGAAACTATCCCAAAGCAACTGCCTACTTAATAGAGTATCTTCACCTGAGTGTATAGTGTTGTGGATATTCGTCCTAAAGATATTGGTCCCACAGGCTGAAATTATTTATGGACAGGACTAATTTTCATATAATCGTGACATTTTCGGATAATATTCGTCATACAACCCCTCTTTGATGTAACAATCTTATGAATTTCATTTTAGATCCCTAAAATCAACTTCGAGAATGCTTCAGGAAGCAGTGGCTCATCCACAGGGGTCGTTGAAGCCGGTCTTCATAGCAACGAGATGCCCCTCGAACTCGATGTCGCGAACCTGCCGACATCGCAGTCGAGCACGTGCGTTCAGCTTGATCGCCGTGGTCGTATCCGCTTCATCATGTCCCAGATCGCCTCCTGTCTTCAGCAAGTCGTCGAACATTCAGAAGACGCCATCGTCGATGAAGAGATCAAGGGAGAATGGATGCGGATCGCGTTCGTGGTCGATCGCTTCTTCATGTGGTTGTTCGGTCTCAGCACCGCCGTGGCTACGTGCGGTGTTTTGCTTCAGGTTAAGGAATAATGTTCACCCATCTCTCTCTCTCTCTCTCTCTCTCTCGCTCTCTCACGTTCTCTCTCTATCTTTCTATATCTCTCTATTCATTTTAAGAATAGTCTCGTAAGGATTTCAAGAAAATTCCAATGACAATTCTTTTCTTTTTTAATAATAGGCTCTCATCGTATTACTACCTTCTTCTAATCTGCTTAAAGTTGAATTGATCTGTGCCTATACAATTTCCATAATTTTACTTAATATTCATTCTTTATGATTACAAAATGCTACATCATGTTCAAATTCGTTTTCAACCTCAACGTAAATTGATCAAACTATACGAAAACGTTTCAAAACAATACACCTTTATTTACTTAGTTATATGGTGGATATACTCTACATATAATGCATTTCATTAACAGGATTTTTTTCATGGTAATATGATGTTTTTGAGAAAATGGTTTTTGTATTGTTGCAAAAAAAGGGTCTTATAAATATGATGATACGTATCATTTTTCTAATGATTCGTATCACTTTACGGGTGTAGTATTATTCTTACTGAAAAATAATACTAAATGTTGATCACAATTCTCGGCACTTTTGAGAATTTTTACCGTAAGTTCTAGGGCAAGTCATGAGGAAAAATCAACTACATATTTAGATAGATATTTATTTATTTCGTCCACAATGTGGAAATATGCTTCCCACCAGCGTTGCAATAACAGAAGAAACAGAGTACAATAATATGAAACATGCCAAACTACAAGACCATGTCAATTTTCAACATGTTAAAAAGTATCTGTTAGTATAATATTACTTTATGAAGTTACAAGATTTTAAGTAATGCAAAAAAGAAATTTCTTTTATGACATGCGCTATGTAAAATATACTTTTATGCTTTGTATCATTGTATTAATCATTATTATCATTCAACATAAAGTGTTATCGACTGAAGTACATGTATAGTCTAACATATTTTTAAAGTATTTTCCGAAATTTGCCTTCATTCTTATTTTTAGTATTTATTGTTATCAAGCCACAGAGTATTTGGATGTCTGATTGAACCACGTTGTTGTTCCTATAAATCTAATATAAATATGGTAAACAGAGGGCAGTGCATCTTATCAATGCATTGAAATCCCTGAATGTATTTGATAAAATATTTGTCTCCTAACATTCGAACCACAATGTTGTGATAACATCGGTCTTTTACAAGGGTTTGATTTATCATGAATCATGGTATTCTAGGATGAAGTGCTCGTCTTTATTAAAATCTACGCTGTATCCAGGGATAATAACTTTCATGAATTTGACGATGTATTTAAGTTAAATGAATTTATCAGTGAAATTATAGCAGACCCATTGCAATGTTACAGTGAGTCAGAGGTCATAGAGATAGTATCGACGAATTAGGAGCACTGGAAACAAAACAAAAATAAGTACCATAGCGCCTACAAAATAAAAGAATGTGAAAAGAGACATAAAATTCATAAAACAGGTGAATATGTTATATTTCTGACGGAAGTAGTATGTTTAAAGGGATCTTTTGAAAGCGGCAAGACAACTTAATTCTTCGATTGAAATGGGGATAATTTTCGAGGACCATTGTTTGTTACACATCATTTTATACACCGATGACCAGACCAACAACACACTTCAAAAGAATTTACAAAAATGACCAAGGATCCGTCGGTCTTGAGTCGGTTTGACTCGGGTATTAATAGTTCATTCTTTACAAACCCTAAAATCTGTATTAGCTTGCACTGTTGTATTATTAGACACATTGTCAAAGGTCTTATTTCCATTTGATAAAGGTTTTGTGTCTACTTCCTTATTTCGATGTTCACCTTGATATAGAGACGAAGTCGATCCTATGTATGTCATTACTTTGTACATAAATAAATGATGTTAAAATCGTACATAATGCACTGTCCTTACATTCATTTCATCAACAAGAGGGTACGATCAAGAAAGACCCCCTTCCCTAAAAAAAATACTGTAATGAGAATATAAGTAATTATGATAATAATATAACGACAATAATGATAATTAGTAAGAGGAAGAAAAGGAGAGGAAGAAGAAGGAGAAGAAAGGAGAAGAAGAACAAGAAGAAGAAGAAGAAGAACAGGAAGAAGAAAGTTTAAAAAGAGAACAAGAATAATAAGAAGAAGAACACGAAGAAGAAGAAATGAACAAATTATAATATTGATAATAACATATTAAAATATTTAACTGGAAGAGGACATATGCCGCTACGAAAGTATCCCTTGTACTTTTCGATTCCCGGCTGCGGGGGGGGGGGGTTCTGTCCCTCTGTTAATTAGTTTTTAGTATAGGCCGCAGTAGGTATCCAAACAAATAATGGGAAACAAGGGAAAGAAAATGTTTATTGGTGTAGTTTAACATAGGCAGACCTACATTATAACGATTTCACCACGTAAAACAAAACAGAAAAATGGCAAATGGCTCCGGTCGTCTCATTTTCGTTCGCTGGATCACTGCAGCACAAACATAGCTCGTTCGACGTCACTTCCAAACTAGCCAATCAGCTGTCAATGACGTCATATTGAATGCGGCGGCAAATATATTTTGTGAAATCATCGAGAAATGGACTATTGCTAATTGCAAACTAGTTTTATTTTTGGATGGAAATGCAGCCATTGTTATCTTGACATTCATTGAAGTCATCAGAATAGGGTAAGTTACTTCTCAGATGATTCAAGAGGTCTATTTTGTATATAAATTTTCAATTTCTTAGAATGTTCCACTGTGTTGCAGGGTACCGGGTGTATGCCATTGGGTGTGATGTGTTCGCGCGCTATAAGTACAGACCACCGCCCCGTCGGGTGTATTCTCGTTAGTAGGGTGCTTTAGTAACGAGACGGAAGGCAAAGAGGACGGGAGAAATCACTCAACCGAGATCAAATAATGTATGCAGTTAAGATTCTGTCTATTGAAATACTATTATTCGTATCAGGTGAATGAAATAATTTGTATTGAGGCACTTCACAGAGACGTATGCATTTAATTTGGTTACATTACGAAAATGGTCTATTGTACGGCGATACAACTCTTCCGTCGAGTTTAGGGAACGAACGCTATTATGGCTGAGACAGGTCGTGAAAATCAACAAGACGGAGACAATTCTGGTTCGCACATGCGCAGATTGATTATTTTGCTCGGTTACCCTCGTCTTTGCCTTCCGTCATTTTCGTAATGTAACCAAATTTAATGCATAAGTCTTTGTGAAGTGCCTCAATACAAATTATTTCATTCACCTGATAAGAATAATAGTATTTCAATAGACAGAATCCGAACTGCATACATTATTTGATCTCGGTTGAGTGAATTCTCCCGTCCTCTTTGCCTTCCGTCTCGTTACTAAAGCGCCCTACTGATGTAGGTGCAAAGCTAGAATGGCTTCCACGCCCATTTCCCTCTCTTATTATGCCTTTCTGAACATTCCTTTCCTTCTCAATACAATAACTTTCACCTGCCTAAGTTATTCAAACCATACCGCCTCGCCACTTCCATTACGTAATCATTAAAAGGATCCGCATATACAACATTTTCCTGTTTACGTTGTAGGAAAATACAAATCTCCCTGGTATACCTTATACATTCCAAACGAGAAATATGTGCCTTAAACCAGGGAGGTGAAAGAAAGGAGGCGAAACTCTTGTAATTTATTCACACGCATTCGTGAGTTCTAAAGCGTAATAATGAGATGTATAACATTCCACTTAGCTTTGAAGTTCCATGCTCCGAACCGCGTTTCCACTGCGGGGACTTTCGGAAGCCAGGCACTAGTTTTACATTTATTACAAAATATTAAATTACCGGCAAAATTGCAATGTAAATCAAAAACTTTATATGGGGATTGTATTGGGAATAGTGCATCAATCAAGTTTTCAAATTTAGTACTCCGTCCTTCCTATAATTTGTGTTCCAGAGTTGGTAAAAGAAAAATTACATCCTGACAAAAACTCAATATTTTAGGATAATGCGCTAATTTGTGCATGTTTAAATGTCCCGTTATTTAATCCATGATTTACAATCTTCAATAACGTTAACTTTGCTAATGCGTGTTTTCGCGTGTTTTTTGTATTTTTGAAGTTAAAAAAGGGATGAACTTACACAAGTTTATGTTCGCTTGTTCTACTCTTTACACATTCAACAATGGATGAGAAATCATTGAAAGGGACAGCGAACAGTTACTGTGATAACATTTTCTGTTGTAGGAATTCTAAGTCCCGAAATTCTATGCGCTCTTTTATCTCACCACCTGGTCAACAGTTGCAGATTAGCGCATAACTTTTTGGCGGCGTGGAGCATGGGGTCAAAGGAGAGCGGGTTAATTCCAGTCCTTCTCTACCACGTCCCTGCTTAAACGAAGCAGGCGACAATCGGCGTAGCAGACGACACTTGATAGTAATTTTGTATGTGAGATTGCTTTGCTAAATATAAATTACTTTGTTAATAAATATCAACTCAAATTTCTTTTACATATCTTTAAACCATCATTGATATTTAATAATTCATGAGTGAGTAAAAGAAACATACCAAACTACATAATGATATAAAATACTTGGTGGCAATTAGAGGAGTTTTACGTGATGACCGATTGCACCCCTCTGTTAATAACCGAATAGTCCATGGTGTGTCATGAATATCCATGTTTTTGCTTACCTCGGAAAAATGTTTGCTTTTACTAAATGGAAAAATTACGGTGGGGGTTGGATGAAATGGACATAATGAACAAAGCAGAAGTGATCTGTGATAATTCATGCTTCTTATCCTTCGTGTGCTTGACCTATAATCTTACAATCGCTTGGCAGACTGAGTCCAAAGTTCGACTTGTTTCACATGTGTATTATAGGCAATGGCGAGCTTGCAACCTATTTTGAAGAATTACGGTGGGTGAACTTTCAAAATTCAATGGAAATGAGGGCTCCAATGAACGATCTAGTGATAACGTACGTCGGGGTAGATGTGCTTTTCGTTTAAACAAAAAATGAATTTTTAACGATTTTTTTTTGTAAACGTCCATAGGCTAACATGTTAGGCTGCTGACTCTGACGATAGGGGGCGTTGTGAAATGAGACTAAACGGAGCAATATGATAGGCAAGAGGTATAGCAATTGAAAACAGCTAGCCTTATGACGTAGATGACATGCACGAGATTAAAATATGGGGTTTACCAAAAAAAAATCAAACGTAATTTACAAAGTGAAGCAAAAAGCTCCTTAAGAGTTTTTCATTAAATCCAAGAAACATTTTATTCCGTGGTACTAAGGGAATGTCTATTGTTGGTTGGAACCTTCAATAAATAGTGAAGAAAAAAGAACGAAATATCTAATGTGTGGTTTAAGTGAGAATTACAGTTACTATAATTAATAACAAATACACGGAAAAATATCTGCAATTTCTCATAATTATTAAAGATCATAAATTATTGTATGTGTTTGTGTTTATGGTCGGATTTAAGTGATATATAAGAATTACAATCAACTCAACATCATGTTTCTTTTCTTGAGTGACAGCTTACATGATTTCGCTCAAAGAAATTATCAATATTGCAGTATGCAATTGATCGTGAAAATGAAATCGCATTCGTCCCAAGCCCGTTAGGATTACAAATTCATGTGGCGTGAGAAAATTAAATGGACTATCAGTAATGACGTGAGAAAATTAAATGGACTATCAGTAATAAAGGAGGCAGTAGCTTAGCTCGTTGGAGCATGATCATAATCTTATTGTGATAGCTTACAACATCGAATTACATGCATCATTGACTTGAGATTCTTTTTTTTTAATTATTAAAGCTCACCACCATATTAATGATGAAACAAGAAAATGTATTTGTTTAGCACGATCGACCAGTTTTGTCAGCTTTTCATAAAGATGACCCAAAATAAGTCGTATCATACTCAATGTAAATAGCAAAATTTAGGTGAAGCTACTTTTCTAGTCCTAATTAATTCTCCTTGAAGGAAAAACTAAATATGATGACATTTGCTGAATATGTCTTAATATTGCCCACTTGTATCAAATGATACATGTGCTAGCTATTTTCCGTCCATGGTTTCCGATATTTTTTAGCAAGAACGACCTAAAGGAACTCAAGGCTATCGGCAACTTCTGTTTGCGCCAAAGCACATCGCTCTGGAATATTTTACAAGGAAGTTGGAATGAAACTCGTACTAATCCCCCCCCCCCCGGGGGGGGGGGAGGGGAGGTGCGTACTCAGATTTGGTTTGGACGAGGTTGTGCCGCTCAAGTCTCGAAACTCCTACCTAGTTTGAAGGCCCATTTGAGGAATTTTTCTCGAAATAAAGGCCCATTTTTCACAATTTTAGGGTGTGATGACAACACCCGAAAATTTTGGAAAAACGGACCCATGTTTAGTGATATTTTGTTAAAAATAGGACCCATGTTTAGGTTTTTGTGGAAAAGCGACCCATTAGAACGGCACATCACGGTATATCTTAATATGTGAGTGCCCCCCCCCCCCCGGACTAATCCGGGCACACACAGATCCCAATCAAATAGGTTGTTCATGTTGTACATGACATTGCCGCACATCCCCCCCCCCCCATTGGGTTAAATATCTGATTTTTTTTTCTTCAAATGTAAATGGGGTCTGAAAATATGCACGCCCCCAGCTATCCTGGATCCTGGTAAATAGGCAGAAGGGAAAGTAAAGAGACAGAGAGTGAGCAACGACCCACTTAGGGTTGGACAGAAGCTACTCCTCCTGATGCTAAGCCGACATCAATACTTTTTAAAAGCCTGATCCTTTTTTAAGTCCATGAAAACAGAATGCATTTTGATGCTTTGAAAAAATAGGATTTCTCTTTTTGGGAGTGGTCTCTACCCTCTCGTTCAAATGGACTTTTGGTGTGTACCGGAAAGTCCCGTCACTGCCGCCATCGTAACAGATTGTTAACGAGTTACACCCTATTGATTGCATTGATTTAAACACTGAGCTTGCTCGCGCTTCTAAAAGCCTCGATCATAATAATCCAGATTTTCTTTAAAAAGGGTTGATTTAAATTCGGATATGATTACTGACACTCGAACTTATGAGGAAAGTACTGGCACACTTTCCAGCTTCATTAGCACGAGTCGAGAAGCTTTTAACGGGGATCAATAAGTGTTAAAAACCATGGCATCTATGACAGCATATACATGTACATGTGTCAGCAACGCCAGCTGAACGCCATTGATTAGTCATTTTAATTGCACCTTGTTTAAATTAGTTCAGAGCTTATTAATGCTCTCTTGGTAGTTATATCCTTTACATGGCCATCAATAATGCACGATATACATATATAAACCAGTTACATATTGGTGTGGGTTTTTTTATATTAAAGGCAGAGTATGCTGTCTTACACCATCGGGAAAGGTTGTAAAAAGTGAGTTTGACGCCAAATTAACCCCCCAAAATAAATATATTATTTTACGTAAAGCAACACGAAAGCGTATGACTATAAACACAGTATACAAAATATTGTTTGATTTCATCAAAATCCATTATGTAAAATATATCGACGCATTAAATTGTTGGGAATACAATAATTTTGAAAGCATTCATTAATAATTTAATTGACTTTCAAGATGTTAAACTAATTACCGTGACATATTCATAAGTCCTGCAAAGTTCTACAGAATTCGATGTTGGCTGCAAATGGGACATAGAACCTTTAAAAGGTCGCGAATATGAAGCATTACGTAACAATCGATGACAAAAATTCTCGCTAATTGAACGACCTGTAATGGCCATGCCTGCCTATGCACAATCGCAGCAAAATCATCGCCCTCGTATTTTTGGCGGGCTAAGGATACTGAACAATTTAGGGCTTTGCGTAGATCGTCCGTCTGCGGAGACATTTGCGGTGCTGACAGTGAGAATATACTTCTAATTTGCTAATAAACTACTCAGATTTGTGCTTTTTATTACGAATTCTTGTGTTTAGTCGGAGAGATATTATCGTTTTCCAAGATGAAGAGTGTGGTATTTTTTGCGGTTTCGTTTATTGTCATCGGAGCTGGTAAGTCTAATCATTAATATTACATTATCGTTAGGCGATATTTTGTTTACAGAAGTAATACTACGTAGAAACGTTTTTTTAAACACAGGTGTTATCATACCAAATAATAATAACAGCACAAGAAAATATTGTGAGGTTTCTTTTTCATTAACGGGAATTATATAGAGAGTTCCTTCTACAGTCGATTAATTGTTAACTTTACTCGGGTGTGGTCTTTCGGGGACAACCTAAGCCGCATTAGTAAATAACATGAATAAAACGCTCATTTGCGAAAAGAAATTATTTTCAGTACAGTCCGCATAGAAATAACGATTGCCGAGGAGGAGGTAACTTTTACGCTTTAATTCTTTTTTTTTATGGAAGTGTTAATTTAAAAGGGCGACTATAGGTAAGTCAGTAAAACAAGAGATTTGGAAACCCATACAAAATATTTTTGCGCCGCCCCTAACCATAAAAGTGGTAAAAGGGACACACATAAAAGGGTTTGACGTGACGTGAAATTCCGGATATTTTGATGATGTGTCTTTGCCTGTAGATTAGTAATTCATTATTTGCTTCTGAAATGAGCACAAAAGTATTGTGGTTATTTCATTGAGCCCGCCTATCAAACACTAATTACTTTGTATATATACGAAATTTGGTCAGCGGTCAAGTTTAAAAACAAATCAAATGTCTAGCTTCCATCAAGAAATCTTAGGTGTACGAGACGGGAGAGGGAGTAAAGATACTGCCGCCCCCCCCCCCCCCCCCCCCCCCCCCCCCCTCCTCGGTTTGTTCAACTCCGATATGATTCCTCTTGTTGTCTAATGCAATGATTATAAGAAACCGTTTTAAAGATATTTATTGAAGATTTCCCTGTTTTGGAGGGTTCTCGTTGCAGCTTGCGAAATTTAGGAGCACTACGGATTCGGGCTGCATGAAACCCGAATAGCTTGATATTCGGCAGGGACGTGGCCGAATATATTACATCTTATCACTTCTTTTTCTCTCAAAACATCGAAACAGGTTGATTGCGAGCAACGAGTTAACAAGTAGCTCGAATATCCTCAATTAGGCTTCTAGAATGTATTCTGATGCTAAATAAAGCCTTCTTGTTTTCTTCTTTTTGGGTAAAAACAGTGTGCTTGCTATTTAAGCAAGAGGCATCAGCCTTCCTTGCGAAACTGTTCATATGCGGTATACGCCTAATAGCTTTACATGGGCCAAATCTAATACTCCATTTTTTAAAGGTAATAACAAAAATTGGTGTGGGGTCATTTGGTTTCAATGAACATATTGGAAGCATTTGCGATTTTACAATATTCAATGATTGTTGTCGTGGTTGAAATCGAGTCTAAAGTGATTTTAGGTAATAATCTCGTTATGTTGTATAGCTCCCTCTCTAGACTGATATTACTATAGCTTTAAAACAATGTTTCTTGACTACAATCGACCGATTTGCTATTCCCGTTTGGAAATTATATATCAGAACTGCATATTCTGAGATTTCCATGGTCGTAGCTACCGTAGGCGCGATTTGAAATATTTGACATTTACCGGGAGCACCGGTAAAATGTTGATTATTCAATTACTCAAAAGAAGGAGTGGTTTACAGTCTAAATTTTGTAGTGTTTATTATATATCCAAATGGGAATCCAACTATCAACATTTTAAAGAATTATCCATCCAATTTTCAAAATTTCCTTGAAGGTAAGCACGTGCTTGTATGTTTACTTGTTTACCCATGACTTATTCACTTGTTTACAAATAGGAGCATCGGGACAGACTCAAACTACGGATACTTTACGCCTGTTCACGAACCTGTTTGCTAACTACTCTAAAGACATCCGACCTGTCGAGAAAGCCTCACAGAGTATCGACGTTCTCTACGGAATGGCCATCAGGCAGATCATCGACATGGTAAAACCGGAATACTTTCCACCGAGGGAGTAATAATATTTAGAATTCAACTAAAAGATAAAGTTGAGTTCTGATCATGCGATTGCATTTTGAAAAAACACAGTGGCGGAGTCGATCAAAAAAGGTTGATTATCTAGCATATAATTATTGGTGTGTACTGCAAGGTTCTGCAATCATCAAAATGATAAGAAAATCAGCCCCGTCTCGGTATAGTTTATGGGATATATGGGATATATATATGGGACTACGCGAACATGTGTCGAAAAATTTCGTCCCGTTATTATGCTGTAATGCTGTTACATACCATATTTAGAACTTTTTCTTCTCTGACGTTCTCCCACACTTGCATAATAGGGACTTTTAGAATTGCAAGACGATATAGTGGACTGCTACGTGTGACGTCCAGGGGCGTTGCTAAACCTTTTTCAGTGGGTCTTATAGGAAAGTGAAACTTCGAGAAAATACATGTAATTGTAGTCACTCTTGAAGTCGTCACAGCGGATAAAAAGTCACAGTTCCTAGAGAAAAAAAAGTTGTCGGCCGACCGATAATATACATCTCACCGACTTCAAACTTCTGCATTGATATAGTAATAAAAATGATAACGCTCACAAATTATTTGTCACCTCTTCCAAGAACTCAACCTTCTCTTTAAAGGTTATTTCAATTATACAGTGCATAGCACATCAAGTTCAAGTTCATTTTATATAGAAAGCATGTACGAATTATCATATGTCACTGTCATTTTCACAGAATTCACTAGGTGCCGCACACGGCTATTGAAATTGCCCTGTGTTAATTTTTGGTTATCAATGAAAGAAGATTAATGTACGAAACAAGACCGCAACATCGTCATTTACTCTTTCATCGTCTAGAATGTTGACATGCAAAACCATGTGGCTTTTCCAGCTCTTTAAAAACATGTGTAAATAGCGGAATGTGTTTGATAGTGTGTACCCCTCTAAATTACGAGGTGGAAGGCCCTACGTACCCAACTACCCCTTTGTTGGCAAACATTTCGAAGACCCACATGTTGTATTGGTCATTCATATTTCTAAGTTAACATCATTGTGCATTAAACCATATTAGGGGGCCTTATCTAATCTTGCTGAAATGGTGACGACCACTTAACATTTCGTCTCTGTATTCGGGTCATGCTGGCAACTCAATTTTAGACATAGGTTCCATGCCTTCGCTCATCTGGCCTTACTCTCCAGGTGCCCATTACTCATCTCAAAGGGTATGGAAACCGGGCATTTTCCTATATTGCTCCTAGCCTGTGGAATTCCCTCCCATCATCTATTCGCGAAATTGACAACCTGGACCACTTCAAATCTTCGCTCAAAACTCACATCTTCCTTCAGACATTTAAATGCTAATTTTATTGGAGGAGCTCGCGCTTTTGAATGTTTTTTGAAACAGATATATGGCGCCGTACAAATGCTGTTCATCATCATCATCATAAAAAAAAATAATTGTGTGATTTATGATTTATTTGTGAGCAATAACTGACATGCCAATACCTCAGCTTAAATTGGAATGGGTAACGTACAATTTCATTTTTATTTTTCATTTTGTATTTCCCCTTTATGTGTCAGGATGAACGGAATCAAATTCTTACTACTAATGTGTGGCTAAGACAGGTAAGAAATGTGTTTATTGTCACATCGGCTGTTCTCTAAAAATAAATGACATTTGCTGATGTTTTCTTTTTCGTGCGTGTGTGTGTGTGTGTGTGTGTGGCTTCGTACCACCCCATCCCTCTCTTTCTCTGTCTCTGTCTGTCTCTCTCTCTTTCTTTTTCTCTCGATGTTTATATTTCCTCTTTCGAGACTATCGGTATCTTTAGGGTTTCCTAAAAATGTCATCATCTTCGTTTTCCTGTGCGTTATCCTTTTTGGATTCTTTTGGTGATTGTTTTATTGATTTCTATATCCTCTTTTCAAGCATACATGTTCATGTGATATTTAGATTTACATTTTCATATTTAACATATATAAACATTTTGATATTTATAATCTACAATTTGAAAGTCATATTATTTTGCTCTGGGCTTAGAGTTTCACATAGGCTACATGAACTTTACTCAGCTCTAACAGCACATTTTACCCCACACTTCAACGTTATAAATATTGCTTTATTTAAAAGATTTATAAAAATTAAAAAACACATTATCTTTTGCTTTGTTTCATCCCACACCTCTCCGCTCATCTCGCGTTTTCTCTGCTTTTCTCACAACCTCCACCGTTCTGTATCATTAGGGCTGGAGCGATGCCAATCTAAAATGGAACCCCGATGATTACGGCGGTATTACCAAGATCACCGTCCCTTCTTCCAATATCTGGAAACCCGACATCATTCTCTACAACAAGTAATGTTTTTTTTTTAATTGTGCAATACTTATTGAGAACAATATTCCTGTCATAGAACAACGTATTATTATTATTACAGCTGGCCACGCTAGCAGCCCCAGTAAAAGCTTGTTCACATAATTATACTTCGGTTTACCACGGCATTTGTGAACGTGCCTTCTGTTTCGAGTAGGTCAACAAAATTACTTTACTGCAAGGCCTTCTCGGATAATGCAAAATATCGGATAGGCCTCCTGAAACGTTGATACAAGCTACGCTTTGTTAACATAAACGTTAAATAATTTATCAATTGATCAACCAAAACTTAAGTGTATTCGTATTTATATCATCACAGCGCCGACAGCTCTTTCAAGGGAGCCATGAAGACCAACGCCGCCGTTTCCAACGATGGCATCGTCACCTGGTTCGCTCCGGCTATCTTCCGCAGCTCCTGCAAGATCAACATCAACTACTTCCCCTTCGACAAGCAGGAATGCACCCTGCAGTTCGGATCCTGGGCCTACACCACGGAGCACCTGAATCTCCTGAACCGCTCGGCCTCGGGAGACACTGCCAGTTTTCTCGTCAACGGCGAATGGAAATTGGAAGATTTCCCCGTGATCCGGACCCTGCCCCAGTATGGCTGCTGCAAGTACCCGTACTCCGTTCTCGATTTCGTGCTCATTATCAGGAGAAGGTAATGGAAGGACATCTTTTTCGTTTATCAATGGAGGATCTAGATTCTCTAGAAGGGGGAGGGGGACGAAATCTAATAAATTCTAAATCTTATGAAAAAAAAGTACCAGCTAAAGGGGTTAACCCATTTCTGTAAGTTGTGTTCTATTCCAAAATTATCTGACAAGCAGCGCTCAAAATACACGGGGGCGGTGGGAGATTCGCCCCCGTGAGCTCCATAATCGCCCCCGTCAGGTTGCTCACGGGGGCGATTGCAAAATTAAAAATCGCCCCCGTGGAATAAAGATTATCGTTTCTGATATAACTTTAACACAATATTGAGTATCAATTTTCAAACCTAAAACCAATGAAATGGAACTGAAATGGCACTTTCTCTCCCATCGCTATGAGTATTACCGATACAAACAACGGAAGCTCGTAGTGCAGCTAGTGCGGCCGTCAGCAGTGGCTATACTGCGCCGGTGTAACGCCGCTGACGCCCAATATCTGCTGGAGCTGGAGACGATCGCGCAAGGACATGGAGAAGTTTTTCGTTGTGAAAAGTGTGAATCCTCTGAAATCTGGTTATTCTAAAAGACCAGCAAATATTGTAACTCGACCAGTAAATCAGTATTAAGAAGATCACCAAAGATGTGAGAAGGCTCACGGGGGCTCTTTTTTTTTTGGAAGAGCCCCCGTGGACAAAAAATTAATTTGAGCCCTGCTGACAAGATAGTAAGAAAAAAATGCTTATCACAGTTCAGATGTTTTTATTATTATCTATTTCATTATTATTATTATTACTCAGCTTTAAGATTGGTGTACATCAGCACTATAGAAATATACAATATTTATGTTAATTTTGTAGGCATATATTTGTGGATAAATAATGCCTTTGTTACGTACATCACTATGCACCAATTTATCGCAGGACCTATTCTTCTTCCATTTTTCCAGGCCGTTGTTCTACGTCATCAACATGCTGGTGCCTTGTATATTGGTGTCTGCCCTGACTCTCCTCACCTTCTACCTGCCAGCTGACACCGGGGAGAAGTTCACCCTCTGCATCACCATCCTCCTGTCTCTCACCGTCTTCCTCCTCCTGGCCGCGGAGACGATGCCGCCAACTTCTGAAGTGGTGCCCCTCATTGGTGAGTTCAGTCTTCAGGCTCGTAATGCCTCAGTCACACATTTGCGTATTTGGCTTGCGTATTGCTGCGTATTTATGCAAGCTGTATTAAAGGTAAAGACCAGTATCGGAAACGCCCCAATTTCAAAAAATGAAATGGAAGCTCTCATTACCAATCATGTGAAAGCATATGTTTTGACTAATACATGATGATAAAAAATTTGCCGGGAAACCGCCTACTAATTCATATATTTGGTAAATTTATTTCTCTCATGGTTTGGTGAGAGAGATAGGTAGTCCCATATACATCTTTCTGTGTATAGTGCTTGTAACTTTACGAAGAATGAGCCAAATTTCTTATCATTTTGATGATTCCAGAACCTTGCAGATGCTAGATGCTAGATGATCGACCTTTTCTGATCGATTCCACAACGTTTCTTTCAAAATGCAATCGCATGACCATTACTGGTCTTTACCTTTAAAGCTAAAGGGCGGTATTCTGAACCCTGTGTTATCTCTAATATTGTTGTATCTTTGAAGATAAGATAAAGTTGGTATTCTGAACATTGTTGTAACTTTTGTGTTATCTTTTGTTGTATCTTTTCTCTCATCTTATTGGCCGCGCCTGCGCTCAAACTTTGGTGCGCTTGTAATTGTGCGTATTATTAATAAAGTGGCATTTAATCCTCATTTGCATATGCGCACGGGAGATAATATGTCGAGATAATTGGTATTCTGAAAGTTGTTGTATCTTTTATCTTATCTTATCTTGCATGGTATTTACAACAATATTTACAATAGGTAGGGGGTTGTTGTATCTTTCATGGTGATATAATGGCGGCAATATTTTTTGCCCAGAACCAACTTCGTGCCAATAGACGAGTTAGAAGAAGATTGTGTGTTGACCGGAAACATCACAGATGAGAACTTTCTAAGATATTACATGCTAGGATATGATGATTTTAATGCTCTCATCTTAACCAATATAGTGAAAGCGTGATTTGTCTTCATGATCCACATTCAACAGCGCATAATGATGACGCGCGTAATAAGTGCTCAAATAACTAATTACGCTCAAGATTAGTATGCGCTATAGGCGCATCTTCAGATATGGCATAAAGTATTCCTATCGGTTGACCTACTTATCATGCTTATATAAAACTGATTTTGATTGGTAGGGTCCATACAAATGGGCGTGTCAACAGTGGTCAAAGATAAGATAGAGGCGGTCCTTACAGAGATAACACAGGGATAAAACAATGTTCAGAATACCAACTTACAACAATATTAGCGCTGTGTTATCTCTGGGAGATACAACAAAATATAACACAAAACTTACAACAATTTTCAGAATACCACCCCAGTTATGGTCATGCAATTGCATAGTGAAAGAAACGTTGTGAAATCGATCAGAAAAGGTTGATCATCTAGCATAGATGTACTGCAAGGTTCTGGAACCATCAAAATTATAAGAAATTCGGTCAAGTCTTCATTAAGTTAGAAGCACTGTACACAAAAAGATATATATGGGACTATACACACGTGCGCGACACGTGCATTTGTATCTCTCAACAGGCAAGAGATATACTAATTTACCAAATATATCAATTAGTAGGCGGTTTCCCGTCAAAATTTTATCGTCATGTAATATTCAAAACATATTCTTTCACATGAAATAAGAGCTTCCATTTCATTTATTTCCAATACTGGCCTTTACCTTTCACATTTATTCCTATTTCTTGATATAAAAAATTGAATTCTTGATATCAAGAAATATTTTGTTGTTGTAAAACAATGGTAATTCTTGATATCAAGAATTCAACTTTACTCCGGCTAGAATTGATCTAGGCAGTGTTTCGTCAATAATATGCAGAGTTATGCTTTTGGATTTAATGATTTCAAGGTTTAGGATCAAGTTTGGGTCAGGTTCAGTGTTGGGTCCAGGATAAGTGTGACAGGAGCATTTTGTCATACCTGAATTTTAATTGCGTTAATACCTGCGTTTTATAATCACGCCTCTAAAAGCGTTTCCGGATACCTACCCCCTGGACATCGACCCCCGGATAACCACCCCAAATCAACTACCCCCTAGGGAAACCACCCTCTAGGATGACTACCCCCTAGGATAGTTGTCCTAGAGGATGGTTGTCGTAGGAGTAGTTGTCTGGGGTAGTTGTCTGGTGGTAGTTGTCCGGAATAGTTGTCCTAGTGGTAGTTGTCTGGGAGTAGTATTCCGGGCGGTAGTTGTCCAGGGGGAAGTCGTCCTACAGGATGGTTTCCCTAGGGGGTAGTTGTCCTAGGGGGCAGTTGTCCTAGAGGGTAGTTAACTGGGGTGTTATCCAGGGGGTGGATGTCCAGGGGTACAATGTAGGTGTCCTAGAACCCTCTTAAAGTGAGTGGTGCATACACTAGTAATTCTATTCAAAGTTTGCACTGTGTATTTGGCGGCCACAATTCGCATTAATGTACGACTTCATTGCGATTGCGATCACAATGCGCACCAAATATCACACCAGTCGCTGACGCAATCTTACGTCAGCCACATATCGCTTTGTTTGCAACGGGCATTAGTATATGCGCCAGTAATTGAACACAGCCCTTTGACTATTAGTATTCAGTTGGCATTTACATTTTGTACGGTGCCTCTCTGCCATGACGCATCAAATACCAGGCGGCTCACTGACGCAATCCTACGTCGCTCATGACGCATCGTTTGCAATCGGCAGTATAGAAAGAACTACGTCAGGAAGCGTTTCACCAGAGGGATCCTCCGGACTATCTATTTATGGCATGGTATGCTTCTAGGAGCCCACTTTGGCGTACAAATCAACAAGTAACGGCAGTCTGGGCAGCGGTTCAAGGAAGTTCCTCGACAACCCACAGAAATGCGTGTATTAAATTCACCTCTTGTTTCAATAGGGACTTTTAGATTTTCAAGTCGACATAGTGGACTGGTACGTGTTACGTCATTTTAAGGCACTGTGATGTCCTTTTAAGGCACTGCCATTTCCTTAAGAGGACGTCACACGCATAGCAGTAAACTATGTCGACGTGCAAATCTAAAAAATTCCTAATGTGATGTGGGTAAACTTGTCCTTTTGACAGGGTTGGGCGGTAAATACCGGTGGCGGTAATTACCGGCGGTAAATACCGGTAAATACCGTCCGGTAAATAAGATGCGCATCCGGTAAATATGTAAAAAACGGGAAATATGATTTTAATTCTCTATTTATTAATAATTTTACTTGTTTTTAGCCTCATTACTGAAAATATTGTTCTGAAATACTTAGCAGCACAAAACTCATAGTAGGAACACACAAACAGATTTATAAAATCCTCACTGCATACATGTACACACACCCAAACAAATGGCATTTTGTTCATATGCTAATTAATAGGTATTCATGAACATGGTAATTAGTAACTGGGAACCAAAACCTTCATACAAGTTACTTTTATTGTAAAGTTTAAGATATTTGAATAAAATCAGTGAAAATTTGAACAAAATCGGGCAAGGAATAAGGAAGTTAAAGGTTTTTGAAATGACTAGTCACTAGAGGGCGATATTCAATTTGATGATATCATTTGTGAACAACTCTCCATGCCTTTTGTACATCAAATTTCATGTTTTTCCTCCTTTCTTGTGATTGAGATAATAGAATGCAAAATGATATTCTACTTCACATGTTATGATATCCGACCAAGAACACAAATAAATAGGAAAAAACGAAAGAATTGTGAAATTTGACGTACAAAAGGCATGGAGAGTTGTCCACAAAATGTCATCAAATTGAATATCGCCCTCTAGTGACTAGTCATTTTAAAAAGCTTTAACTTCCTTATTCCTTGCCCGATTTTGTTCAATTTTTCACTGATTTTATTCAAATATCTTAAACTTAACAATACAAGTAACTTAGTATGAAGGGTTTGGTTCCCTTTAATGAAGAACATCATAGATTAGGTGTATATTTGGTATCTTTTTCCTGTATTTTTTTCCCAGCATTACATAATTACAGACATAGACAAACACACGAACAAACACAAACACACGCACACACACACACACACACAAATAGTACACACAAGAGCAACCATACTGACCACCATTGTTCAAAATTGGACAATCCCTATGAACAAGTGAGTGGAAAAATATATTTCCCGAAATTCCGGTATTTCCCGGTAAAAAGTGGTAAATACCGGTAAAAAGCGGTAAATACCGGTAAAAACCGCTTATTTCCCGGCGTCCGGAAATATGCCAACCCTGCCCTGCCTTTTGACGGTTTCTTAAAACGATCGATGACCTGCTGTTGACAACAACACAAACTCTAACCGAAGCAAAAGCAAGTTACAGTGAATATTCAGGCTATTGGGTTCAATTTTCGATTGTCTTTGTTTCCAAAGCTAAATTGCATGTATATATTTCGAAATCATGGTGTATATATCTTTTCTTCAAACGACGGAATTTTTTTGTTCGTTGTTTCCTTATCAGCCCAGTATTACATCACCACTATGGTCCTCGTGTCCGCTTCAACTGTCCTCACAGCAATCGTTCTCTACATACACCACCGCGGGACGTACGTGGGTAGGGCGCCCTCTTGGTTCCGACGATTCACACTCGATTACCTGGCCAAGTTCATATGCATGGGTGACTGTCATAATCCGGATGTGAAAGATAGGGTAATGGTTATGTTCTAGATATTACAAGATTAAAAGGAAATTGTGGATTGAATACCGTTTCAGTAGGGTAATATGTCCACAGTATAATTATGGTATACTATTTGAAGAGTGGAATCATGTGTTCGCTGTTCACACTACCGAAAAGACCTACTGCATTTACAATTGTAGAATTATATACAGTATGGAATGCTGTGTTAGCAGTTTTAAAATAATGTGGTCCCATCTGCTCCATCGGACAATCATCCCGAGGAAAATTTCCCAAGATCATATCGCCTGTGAAACTATTCCAAAGCAACTGCCTACGTAATAGAGTATCTTCACCTGAGGGTATAGTCTTGTGGATATTTGTCCTAAAGATATTGGTCCTACAGGCTGAAATTATTTATGGACAGGACTAATTTTCATATAATCGTAACATTTTCATCACTTATCAGGATAATATTCGTCATACAACCCCTCTTTGATGTAACACTCTTATGAATTTCCTTTTAGATCCCCAAAATCAACTTCGAGAATGCTTCAGGAAGCAGTGGCTCATCCACTGAGGTGGTTGAAGCCGGTCTTCATAGCAACGAGATGCCCCTCGAACTCGATGTCGCGAACCTGCCGACATCGCAGTCGGGCACGTGCGTTCAGCTTGATCGCCGTGGTCGTATCCGCTTCATCATGTCCCAGATCGCTTCCTGTCTGCGCCTAGTCGTCGAGCATTCTGAAGATGGCATCGTCGATGAAGAGATCAAGGGAGAATGGATGCGGATCGCGTTCGTGTTCGATCGCTTCTTCATGTGGTTGTTCGGACTCAGCACCGCCGTGGCTACGTGCGGTGTTTTGCTTCAGGTTAAGGAATAATGTTCACACATCTCTCTCTCTCTCTCTGTCCATCTCTCTCTCTCACTCTCTCTCTCTATCTATCTCTTCATTTAAAGAATAGAGATTGCAAAATGTAAAGGTTTCGTAAGGATTTCAAGAAAAATTCCGATGAAAAATTTGTTTTTTAAATAATAGGCCAAAGAGAAAAAGGTTTACTCTCATCGTGTTACTACATTCTCCTTATCTGCTTAAAGATTAATTCATCTGTGTCTATTGAGTTTCCATAATTTTACATAATAATCATTCTTTATGATTTAGAAATGCGTCATCATGTTCGATTTCCTTTTCAACTTCAAGTTAAAGTAATCAAATAATACAAAAAAAAAGTTTACAAACATTACTCTTTCTTTCATGGTAATATGATGTTTTTGATGGACATAGATTTTGAGGAAAATGGTTTTATATTGTTGCAAAAAAAAGTCTAATAATATGATAATATGTATCCTTTTTTTAATTATTTGTATCACTTCACGAACGAAGTATTATTTTTACTGAAAAATATTACTGATCTTAACGTCTCATAATCATTTTAAATGTTTATCACAATTCTCGGAACTTTTGAGAATTTTTGCCATAAGTTCTAGGGCAAGTCATGAGGAAAAAATCAACTAGATATTTAGATAGATTTTTTTTTTGTCGGCCACCATGTGGGAATATGCTTCCCACCCGCATTACAATAACAGAAGAAACAGAGTACAATAATATGAAACATGCAAAACTACACGACCATGTCAATTGTTCAACATGTTAAAAAGTATCTTTTAATATAATATTATACATCTTTATGAACTTACAAGATTTTATGTAATGCAAAAAAAAGATTTTCTTTTATGAAATGCGCTACGTAAAATGTACTTTTATGTTTGTTATCATTGTATTAATCAATATTATCATTCAACATAAGTTTTATCGACTGAAGTACAAGTATAGTCAAAGATTTTTAAAAGGTATTTTACGAAATGTGCCTTCATTCTTATTTTTATTATTTATTGTTATCAAGCCCCAGAGTGTTTGGATGTCTGATTGAACCACGCTGTTGTTCCTAGAAATCTAATGTAAATATAGTAAACAGAGGGCAGTGCAACTTATCACGCTTATTTTAAATGTATTGAAATCCATGATTGTATTTAATAAAGTGTATGGCAAATACATGAATGTATTTAATAAAATGTATGACAAATCCATTAATGTATTTTATGAAATATTTGTCTCCTAACATTCGTCGAACAATGTCAGGAATCATGGTATTCTAGGGTTAAGTGCTCATCTTCGTTAAATTCTACACCAAATCCAGGGATGATATAGTATAGTAGACCTATCTATATTGCAATGTTAAAGTAAGTCAGAGTTAATATTAATATTAATTCATGATTCAACATCTGAAATGGGAGAGCCTGGAGAGGAGAAGAAATGCTGCAAGCCTCCACCTCATGTACAAGATCCAAAACAACACAGTAGCCATCAATGCACACCATTACACAGCACCCATGATTGCCAGCAACACACGACAGTATCACTCAAAGAAGTTGCTGGCTATCCCATCCCGCACCCAGCTCTACCAGAACTCATTTTTCCCTCGGACAGTAACTGCGTGGAATGCTACTTCACTGGAAGACTTCAAGGGAGCGCTTCCACCCAGCATCTAGACCAAGCACTAGATATTTTATTCCTAAGCACTATACATCCTGACTTATGGATCCTGTTGAGTATCGTCGTAGAAGTAGTAGTAATAACAATAACAATAATAATATCGACGAATTAGGAGAACCGAAAACAAAAAGAAGTACCATAGCGCCTACAAAATAAAAGAATGTGAAAAGAGACATAAAATTCGTGAAATAGGTGAAAATGTTATATTTCTATTAAACGGAATCAGTATGTTTAAAGGGGTCTTTTGAAAGTGGCAAGACAACTTAATTCTTTGATCGAAATGAGGATACTTTTTGAAGACCGTTTGTCTGTTACACATCATTTACACCGATGACCAGACCAACAACACACTTGAAGGGAATTTACTCAACAAAAATGACGACGGATCCGTAGGTCTTGAGTCGGTTTGACTCGGGTATTAATAGTTCATTCTTTACAAACTTTATAATCTGTATTAGTTTGCACCGTTGTATTATTAGACACATTGTCAAAGCTCTTATTTCCATTTGATAATTAAAGGTTTCGTGTCTTTTTCCTTATTTCGATATTCACCATGATATATAATGCACTGTCCTTACATTCATTTCACCATTAACCCTTTCGGGGCAAGCATTCCACATTTTGTGGTTTGGCTCTAGTGGTGACTTTTGATTCAGAGCCCTAAAAATATACCAATTGCATAAAAAGAGAGCGCGAAAGTTCAGGCACAAATTGTCATCATTTTGGTTGCAAACCCACATTGTTTTTGAGATCAGGAATTTTGTAATGAAAATCATCTTCAATTCCTCACATTGGCCACACTTAGAGAGATTCAGATTGTTTGTTTTTCGATCAATTTTTTTTCTCGTCTTTTGGACAAAGATTTCATTGATGTATCAAAGCCATTCCCTTTAATTAAAACAGAGTAGGATTAAAAGAAAAAATGTTATTGTTGCCAATTTGAAGACAAAAATGTGATCAATTATTACCCGTATCAGACATCTGAGCTGGTCATTTACAAAACCGTATTGCCCTAGTTTTCACTAGCAGTGGGAACGGAGGGGTATATTCTTTGTATTTTCCTGGGTCTCCCTGCTCGTATAGACTTTGCGTGTAGAGACGAGTGAAAATATACCTTTGTATTTTCCACGGTCTCGCATCCGGGCATCTTGTATTGACCGCGCCGTATTTTGTCATTTTCATTGCGCATCTATTATGCGTACGAGAACCTGCGCACTTTGCGCGCACTCTATTGTGACGTAATAATCATACCAAATGCACACTGTTTGCAGTGTATCGAAAATTTCGTCAAGCACTCGATGCACAGTGCTGGTTTGATAAAGTTTGTTCAGTTCTTTGAAATTGTCATGGTGGATTTCTGTATTTGCTCTAGATGTCTGATTTGGATAACAATAAAAATATTGACTGGCTTTACTTTCGGGGGATATCAGAAATATTGACCGCACTAAGACCATATTGCCCTCGTCTTTCGACTCGGGCCAATATGATCTGAGCTTGGTCAATATTTCTGATATACCCCTCAAGGCCAGTCAATATTATATAATTAATCCCTCCAAAATATTGTTCTAAAAGGGGCATTTGGGCACTCCATAGAGGCCGAAACGAACATTCACTCCCCGTTTGATAACATTAAAGCACTTTTAAAAGGGCACTCCAACCCTTTGTATAATTTAATTTCAATTGAAGCAACAGCAACAAGTTACATAAACAGAATGGCGAAGTTTGAAAGAAATCGGATCAATACAGATATTTAGTAATGTTTGAAATATGAGATTACTACAGCTATGTGAATCTCAAATTGGCAATTTTGTCACTGGATTGTGACGTTGTGAAGGATAACTCTCCAGTTTGTAGTGTACAAAAATATCACTAATTTATGTTTTTTCTACTTCATCGCATTCAAATAGGCCTACAGAGATTTATCTCCTTAAAAATCATGTAAATTGCCTAAATAATGATAATAATAATTATTATGATAATTTGTTTAATAATAGTTATTAAAAAAAAATTAAATCATTTATAAAGAGCGCCTTTTCATAATACCTATAAACAACATTTAAAAAATATTGAAATACAGAGATTAATCTGCCTAAAAAGCATGTAAACTGCTATAATGATAATAATAATAACACTAATAATAATTGTAGTAGAATCTCATTTACAAAGCGCGTTTTCATAAAATATAAAGTATATAATACAGCAAATACCTACACACAAAAAAAAGAACTTTATCATATATAGCTGGCATTAATTAAAAAGAGGAATATTGAGAGAAATTAGAAAAGATGTGTGGCCAGACAGTTTTTGAAAGCTGCGAGAATATTGCAAATCTTTAATACAGGGGGTAAGGAGTTCCAGGTTTTAGGGGCAATCACAGAAGTGCCTCAATGTTACCAAAATATTTTTTTAAAGTATTAAATCATAAATATCAATAACCCTTGTTGGTAATACCTCTTCCATTTTTCAACTCTGTGCGTTTGTTTAAATGGATCTTCACCACAAAACAGTGTAAAACCTTCATCATGTGTATACATCTCCTTAATAATTAACATTTGTCATCATTAATCTACAAGTTGTTAATTCTTGGGAATGATAGATTGATGCATAATCTACGTCAGATATTGCGGATATAAGGAGTGAGAAACGCCATAGGTTCTGCCTTCTCGGTATGCCTGCATAAGGATAAAAAGTAAATACAAATTATCATAAATTAAAGACAAGTCGTTCGGATTCAATATCACGGATAAACGTAAGGTCGTCTACAATATGACAAGATTATGTTGCAAGGCACGATGTCAGCATTAATATCTTGCATGTCTGAAATATATAGAACATAATATATTGACAATATTTTGGTTGATCTATATTCAGCTTATATTATCCACTCTATAGACATCTATCATCCATATTAGATTTAACTTCCTTTTTCGTGTGCTTTTTTTCCCTATAAAATGAAATCTAAAAATATAATTAAAAAACAACAACAGTTTGTGAGGTGTTTTGAACATTTTAAAGCTTAACATCCTCGACAAATATTCGTTTAAGCAAGATTTTGGTCAAACTCGGAAGTTTCTATCTTGTTTTGTGACTTTAGCCTTCCAGTAGAAATATTTTTTTCTTTCTCTTCCCTCTCACTTTGTCTTCCCTTATAACGCACACTCTTTCCCTCTTCTTATTATTCCCCTATATACAGAGTGAGTCAGAAAAAATGTCCACTTTTTAAAATTTGTATTATTTGAAGTATGAATATTTAATCATGCGTTTCATGATATGTGTTGATAGAGTTATACTCCCAGTACATTTAGGTACCATTTTCATTTGAATCCCTGCATGCATGACTGAACATCAGACAATCTTTAGAAGATTGCCAGATCTCACTTGCGCCAAGTTACTGGGTGAGGAATAAAACAGTGGATTGAACAAAGGCAGTCAGACAGACACAGACACACACACACACACACAAACGCACACACGTACACGCATTTACACACACACACACACTCACCCACACGCACACGAACGGTAACAATTGCTTCATAATTTCCCCTTTTCTGATTAAGCATTCATTTTGATCAAGATCGCTGAATTTTAAGTGGCATTTCCCTGACAATCTTTCCCACTACCACCATCATATCATCATCATCATCATTGTCATCATCTTAATCTTTATCATCATCATCATCATCATCAACATGAAGACACATGAATCTAATGTGCTATCTCAATACGTAGGTACATTATTAATCGCTGGCTATGTCCTTTGTTGGTGTGTGGATTTGCGTGTGTTTGTGTGCCTGTGCGTGTGCGTGTTTGTTTGTGCCTGTGCGTATGTGTGTGTGTGTGCGTGTGTGTGTGTGAGTTTGTGTGCGTGCGTGTGTGTTTGTGTGTGTTTTTCTGTCTGGCTATCTTTGTTCAAAACGCTCTTTTATTCCTCACCCAACACCTTGGCGCAAGTGAGATCTGGCAGTCTCCTAAAGATTGTCTGATGTTCAGTCATGCATGCATACATTCAAATGAAAATGGTACCTTAATGTACTGGGAGGATAACTCTATCAAGACATATCATGAAACCCATGATTAAATATTCATACTTCAAACAATACAAATCTTAAAAAGATGGAAAAATTTTCTGACTCAGTCTGTATATTTATCTTTATCTCTCTCTTATAAGGACGATCGATAGGTCTATGAAAAGCAGAAGAAAAAAATAATATGGGCCTAGGTTGTAATTTTTTATTGAACTGTCCGCGTTCTATAATGATACATTATTTCTGTTTGTCATGAGCGCCAAGTTGAAGAATCAATCACAATCATTATTAAACTATTACTATCATGCACCATCACTATCATTATTTTGTTCAAATGTATTAATTTTACATACATGGCGTAATGTCACCGCAATCTGGCCATCAGCTGTAGAGATTTTACCGAGATACTCTTCAAAGTCTCCCCCTTCGTGAGTGCCGCAGTACTGAAAACTGTTTAGAGGACAAAGTGCAAATCAGCAAAAACAAATTCTCGGTCGTTAGAA